TGAAAATAGATCCAAATTATTACCAAACATACATAATTCTAATTAATTTATCAGTCAATCAGGAATGCTATCTATTGAAAACAAAATATCAAAACATTCTAACTTTTTACTTTTATATTAAATTTTTTTTTTAGATGAGATTATTTTTCTAAACCGTGTGTATTGTATAAGAATTATATTGCTATAAATCATAATTATTAAAGATCTACATAAAATATTATTTTCTAGACAAAAACAATATATTACATTAATTTAATTAATATACTGACATTATGAAAAAAAAAAGGAATAAAAATGATTTACTAATTTATTGTTGTATACTTATACTTTGTGCTACAAGGATGTTATATTCTAACAGAAAAAGATATATTTTACCAAAATAACGTATAAATGATGCTAATTTGTTAAATATGATCATAACATACCATTGTAAATAAACATGAATTGTAATTGACATAAGAATATCATTATAATCATGGATACACATATTACACCTGAAAAACATTTTTTAAACTGAGTAAATCAACTGCCACAGCCTGATTTAAACACTGTAGTGTAAATAATCTCATTAATAATATATATATTATATTAAATGTCTGCTAAAAACAAACATTTCTTTAATGATGATTTTATGATGTCGATTATCGATAGTGTGCACCAAATAAATATTTTTTATAATGTATCTTTTACAAAACATTGAAATTAACAATAATTTTTTTTTTAACAAAATACAATCCTCTATAATTTGTTGGAGTAAACTTTTTATGAGTTTTTTTCATTAATTTTATGCACAAAAGATAATGAAGATCATAAACTCAATCATTATAGTTTATATTTTGGCTCCTAAAGCACATATCATATAATCCATTCAAATTTATACAAAACATTAGATTATTCTTTATATCAATGTTTATTCATTTCATTTAAAAGGATTAAAAATGTTCTTCATACTAATTATATACACGAATTTAATAAAGTTCTGTTTCTTTATACATATTTGCAATAAGAATATGTAATACAGTATGAATTGGAGTATTTGCAGATAAAATGAATTAAATTATATGTAATGCAGACATAACAATTTACACTACTGATATGAAAATTCAATAGAAATGATAGATTATATCCTTGATTAAAGTCGCATAAGTATTGTTTAATAAAAAAAGTATAAATAAAACAAGAAAAAACAAGTAAAACTTATAATTCACATATGCAATAAAAAGATTAATGATAACTATAGATCTTTTAATATCCTGTGTGTATATATATGATATATATTCATATATATGTATATATATAGGATATACAGGATATATATATAGGATATATATTCATATATATGTATATATATATAGGATATACAGAATATATATATATATATATATATATATAGGATATACAGGATATATATATGTATATATATATATATATTTATTTATTTAACTGATCTATTTTATGTGTATGTGTATTATAATAATTAAAAGAAATATTTTAAAAAGCTGCATACATGTAATTCATTAAAATGACAAATTAATTCCAATTCAATGCCGTGGAATTATATCAAATAATATACAAAATATGTTAAAAGTTATTGTTTCATATATGAATAAGAAGAAAATCCATATCAAAAATACATTTCTTTATCAATAATGTTTTTAATAATTTTTTTTTTTTTTTTTTAAATTCCTTTCATCATGTATTATTAAAAATGTATTTTGCATCATATCAAAATATAATAATAATGGATGAATAGAAACCTTGAATATATAAAATTAATTTTAATCTATTCTATAAATCATTAAATCAATGTTACAAAATATAGTTAGGAAAAAGCTTTATTTCCTTTAATATAATTATTAATTAGTATACTCATACAAGAATTAAGTATTTTTATGAAATGCGAACATAATACGTTATTTATTTGTAAATATATATGTTATGACAATGACTTAAAAATTATAATATTTTAAGTTCTTAATCAACACATGAGTTGCATTAGTATAATGAAAAATTTGTGAACAAGATTTGCTGTGAAAATGTTTCCTATAACTTCATAATGAAAGCAATTTTATTCATCCAATTCACCAGCAGCCATTGCATCATGATATGATTTATCTTTGGATCGTTCAGGATCCAATTTAATCATGTCATCGATTCGTAATATAGTAATCGCTGCTTCAGTAGCAAATTTCAAAGATTTTATTTTCGAAATAGCTGGTTCTAATACACCAACCTTTTTATTATCCTTTATTGTTCCTTCTAATAAATCAAGACCAACCCTGCATAGTATAAACAATATTTGATATAAATAAACAACATGACATTATACATATAAACTTATTTATAGATTAAGAGTATTAAAGCATTACCATTTTAATTCTGCTAGATCTGCTTTTGTTTGGCTAGAATTGTGATAAGCTCTTAGTTTTGCAACAAGATCAGTTGCATCTTGTGCAGCATTTACAGCCAATGTTTTAGGTATTATTAAAAGTGATCTTGCAAATTCAGCAATTGCTAATTGTTCACGAGAACTCTGTGAAATGAAGAATAACATTATAATGACAATGTTAATAAGATTACTATTAATTAAATAAAAAATGCTTACTAAAGAAGTAGCAAAGTTTTCCAGATAAATTGAAAGGGCAGCTTCAACGCAACCTCCTCCAGCAACAACATTTTTACTTTCTAAAACACGTTTCACGACACACAAAGCATCATGTACAGAACGTTCCATTTCATCACAATAATAATCATTTGGTCCACGTAAAATGATAGAACTAGCTGTTCGAGCTTTTGGTCTATTAACAAAATGATATATATATATTTTTTTTATTTAATTTATTTTATAATAAATTTTTAAACTAACCCTTTAATAAGAATGAGCTCATCGTCACAGATCATTTCTTGTACTACTTCAGCAGCTTCGCCAAGGAAACTTGTTTCAAAAGTTTCCTCTCCTTCCATGTTAGTTAATGAAGTTAAAAATTGTGCACCTGTAGCTTTGGCAATTCTTTTTAGATCAGCTTTCTTACATCTGCGTACTGTCATTGCCTTAGCTTCTACAAAATACTAAAAACAAGATACCAAAAGTTTGGAGTATCACTTTTATCAGTAGTATTTATTTACTTTCTATAAGTACTCAACAAACCTTTAGACAAAGATCATCAATTCCACCAGATAAAAGGACAACATTGGTGCCAGCATTTAGAATTTTCTGAACCCTTTCTTTTGTGATATCAATTTCTCGTTGACGTACTGCTTCCAGTTTTTCAGGATCAGTGATAAGTACTTCAACACCTAACTTCATTTTAGCTTTTTGTAAAGAAAAGTCCAAGCAAGCAATTTTTGCATTTACTATCCTTTTAGGCATTGCTTGCGAAGCCACTGTACAATTAAGTGCATAACCATGTACAAGAATTGATTCTCTAACACTTTTACCATGAGCCTTTAAAACATTAACTGCTTTAACAGGATATAGATGTCCACCTTTACCGTCGCTGATCTTGATAGCATTAGCAGCATCAACGACCATATTACCAAAGAAATTAGCATCTCTATTAATTACTAGTAATGGAAATTATAATATGAAATAAAAAAGATATCATAAACATAATGATTAAATAAACATTTGTTTTTTAAAGAAAAATTTTTTTATCGATAAATGTTTATCGGCTCACTATTTTTTTTCTTTTGAATTAGAAAGGATACGCTCCTATAATTTTACTAGACATAGAAGTTTTTGCTACATTAACCAAGCAATCTCTTCCTAGTTCATCAACATTAACAGTTAAATGTTCTTGTATGTATTTACAAGCTTCCCTAAAATCATAATAAAAAAAAAAAACAAATAAACAATAATTATATCAATTAATTTATAAAAATAAATGAAATTTAGATCATATCACATACTTGCAAGCAAGTCTATAACCACTGATAACAGAGGTTGGATGAATTTTCTGTTTCACAAGCTCATCTGCATTTTTCAATAATTCAGCTGCAACAATTACAACAGAAGTTGTACCATCTCCAACTTCTTCATCTTGTAATTGAGCTAACTCAACCAATACTCTAGCTGCTGGATGTTCAACTTCCAGTAAACGTAAAATAGTTGCTCCATCATTTGTAACTGTGACATCCTTAAAAAAAAATTTTTTTTTTAATAAATCATAATAATATAAATTTAGAATCAAAATAAGATCAAGAAAATATACCCCAATGTCATCGACCAACATCTTATCCAATCCTACAGGCCCTAAAGAACTTTTAACTACATTAGCAATAGCAGAAGCAGCCATAACTGTAAAAATAAGAATAGAATTATGCATAAGGAATAAACTCATTAATACAATATTTGACCTAAATGTATTAATAAAATTAATAAAATTCTTTTCTACGTTTAGAGGCAGTCCGGCATAACCAAACTTTTGAGTACAGATCTTTCTTCTGTCATCTTACCATTTTGAGTTCTTACAGGTGCACCTGACTGCCTCACACCACCAACAGCTAAAGGACTTGCCATCGTCGACATTTTATAATAATTGTTTTATTTTCTTCCTTGATAATATATTGTAATAGATCAAAACCTTACGCTCCGCGTGTGCCTAAAGATAGTACAATAGTCATCAACGACGGCCATTCCTTTTTTATTTCCTTCTACGGGCAACTTCAAGAACGTTTTTCATTGGTTGAATCAATTTAATCAAACATTACGAACTTAAACATATAATTATATAAAAATACAAAAATAAAATAATCTAATTTAATTATAAAATGATAATGAATTAAAATATAAATATTAATTGATTATTCGTATGTGTGTATTGGAAATTCATAAATTCGTAGTGTTCTCTAATATTCATACAAGATGGCGTGCAATTTGTTAAACATCATTTTTTACGTTATTTAAAATTTTTTATTTTTTCATTAATTTAAAAAAAATTTCAAGTCCTATTCAATGTTCTCTAATATTCAACAAAAAAAATTAATTATCAATGAAAGAATATTAATCGTTTAAATGAAAGATTAATTTAAAGATGATAACTTACCCCCAGATTATATTTGATACGTATAACTACCCTTATCTTTCATAGAAGTACAGTGATGTATAAAGTGACATCGGTTTTTGGAAGATAACAGTGTTTAAAAATATTAATTGTTTGAAGTATTAACAAGTAACAATGACTAGTGCATATAGTAAATATAATCGTTACGTGAAATTATATTCCTTCGATGGATTATTCCACGAGTATGTGAATTTTTTTATTATATGTTTTTGCTTTTGTCATAACCTTAACATTTATATTAGGTCACGTCTTCATCCTTGATATATATATTATTTTGTTAATCACATCATACCTCATTTTTTCTTCACTATAGATTCTCTGCTGATAATGGCATTATGGATGAATGGTTAGAAGATATGAAAAAAATGATATACATTGGAATTTTAATTTTACATTCTAATCTATTATTCTTCCATGACATTGTTGGATAACAAAAGAAGATAACATAGAAGAATTATTGATATCATGTAAAAACATGATAGTCTCAGGTGGAAAGACATAAATTATTATTGAAACTAAAATATCCTCTTAAAAGCATATCCTTTCATGATTTTCAAATAATATTTATTGAATTTACAATCAAACTATCATTGATTCTTCAATGAATCTTGTCATCCTAATATTTAAATATATTGATGCAGTTAACATTAATAAATAGTGATAAATAATGATATATATTTAAAAAAAAAAAGCAACATATCCTTGATTATATATTTATTAAATGGGATGACAGATATTCATATACATAATAGAAATTGTAGATTTTGTTTCTGTTTCATTTATCTAGTTATTTATTTATTTATTTATTTATTCGTAATTAATATTGCAATAATTTCATTTTTCTTATTTTGTATAATATTTTATACAGTTTCTAAAATTTACGATCACGTATTTTTTAAGCGTGGAAACGAGCGAACTGATTCAACGAACGTAAGATGATAAATACAAAAAAGAGAGAAGATGAAAATAAGATACAGTAACGAGAATAATAAAATATAATTAAGGTAAAGTATCCATAATTTGTTAAAAATTTCGATCATTCTCTCAATTAAATTATCAATGAAAATTATAACGCAAATAAAAAAATTATCACGCAATAAATCAAATATCAATCACGTAAATCATTAGAAAAATCCTCGCTGTATCAAAATGTATATACAATATTTGTTTGTTCATAGTATTATAAAGAAAAAAAAACAATCGATTGAAATATATTCTATTGAACAGGTGTAGTGTTAAAAAAAAATGACAAAATGCAGGTGTTCAAAGTCACAACAAGAGGGGGAGAAATTTCTATTGATCGATCTAGTCTCCGAATAATTAGGAAGTAAATTTTCAATCGATAACTACGTAAATAAAAATAAAATATATTGCGTCAATTAACAAAAAAAAAAAAAAGAGAAAACGATTATTGGATCAAAGATAAATAAAATTAAAAATCATAAACGACATTAAAAATACGAATGCAGAAAAAAAAATAAAATCAAAACCAATAAGAATCGTCGATAATCGACATAAAATTGGACTGTCGTTCTATTTATAATTCTCATTATTCGATTTATTATAACGTTCAGTGTGTATTCGAATGAATACACACGTGAAAGTTGAAAGTGACGATTTATAGGCTCAGTATACACTTTCGTGTTAGCTCGACTCGATGAGATCGGCTCGACTCGGAATCCTATCGTTCGCGCGGGCTCCCGCCGGCTCGTGGTCAACGCTCGAGACTTAGTTTGCGTCTGGCATTGCGTTCGGACGGTCATATTATAGGGTATTCGTTGTATGTTTGTCGTTCCTTTCAAGAAATATTGTTGTCTTAGTCCTCCCACGAGGCACTCGTGAAATCCGCGTGACTTAGGCTTATTATATTTTATCATATTTTACCGATAGTAACGATCACGATCATTAATATAAATTGTGCTACGAATTGTGCTACGAACTGCTAACAACTGGTAACGTAACTATTTTTATATTTTTTTCTTTCTCTCTTTCCTTCCTTCTTTCTTTCTTCCTCCTTCTTTCCTTTCTCTTCACTTCTCTTCTTCTTCTTCTTCTTCTTCTTCTATCTATTTCCCTCTCTTTCTTTTCCTCTTTCTTTCAACTTTACCAACCGTTATTGCCTATAGTGATAGTTTCAAAAATCTTCGTTCATTTTTCTCCTTTCAAACGTGTCCCTAACGATGAATAGATCAATAGATTATATCCGCGAACATATAAATTTCTAATGGTAGTATTTCGGCGACGCACTTTTCAATGATGAATCATCGTCCATCATCATCATTTCACGTACCCTGCTTTATCGCTTAAGTGACAGAGTTGACAAAGATTAGGATAGATCTATGTTGGCGCTTGCTCGAGGATATTCGAACGATGTACTTTCGCTGTAACTACTCTAAACAAAAATCTAAAAAGTATTTTCATTGATTTAAATTGATTCAACTTTATTATTACGTATATAGCATTTAATTTTTTTTTTTTAACATTTTTTTCGGTTTCATCTCCTCTATATTGTTCGTTTGTTTATACAAACAGATTAAATACTATATTGTTTTATTTCGCTTTTTAAATAAGTATACCACGTGTTTTTACATAATTAGAACAATTTTGCCATGACATTGAAAATTTACTTAAAATTGATATGAAAGAAAATATTGACTTTACTTTGACAAAATATATTTTGATATGTCGATAATTGATATTATTACTCATTCTTATTAATTTTTAATTACCTTACTAAATGCATTTTTTTATTTTTTTTTTTTTTTTCATTATCACGCGAAAAACATTGAAAAGATACTCCTTTTATATAATAGTTGTGCTATTTTAACTAAAATTCGAAATTGAATTAATTAAAATCAATCAAATGTGCTACGAAATTAACTTCTCTAATATCTTTTTGTAATGATCTTATATGTTTTGATTATATATTTATTATTATTTGTACATAAATCATTGTCACTTTTGAATTTCGAACAATATGTAGGAAATACAATGGGCAATATACTAATAAAAAAGGTTAACTGATCCCTCAAGAAGAGTCACCGATATTTCATTCGCGTGACCTGCTCGATTCGAACATCAATTAATGTCAGGGTTGAAATCCGGTTAATGTAACGACAATATTATAAAACTACGCGACGCCCTGATACAAATGAAATTATTCATTCGATATTTATTTACATATATATATATATAAGATATATCAAAGCATGTATGATTAGTTTTTATATTACTATATATAAGCTAGTTGTCTATCAAATTATTCAAAAATAATCTACTTCCAATGCGTATTCATATTTCTTTGAGAAAAATTTGAAAATGAAATTGTTGGAAAGTCTTCATTTCTTTTTTCTTTTCTTCCTTTTAATTTTCAGATTTCCATCATTACATAAGTCATATATTGATGCAAGTTGATACAATTGACGAATGAAATCTGTCCGGCACGTTCGAAATATTTGATAAAAAATTTGTATCTTTCGTATATCGTATAACTTGTATAACATCAACAATAAGAGTTCTTTTATTCTTTGGTTCCCATTTGTCGAGGAAGTAAGGCTTTCACCGGTACAATTTACGAACGAATCAAAAAACAAAAGCGCCTTTGTAACCCTAATAACGTGTACCAAGTACGATCTTTTATTCCCTCAACTACGAGGCTCTATTTTGTAAGATCGTAAAGGTTTAGATTGATATGATTAGGATACACCATGTGATCCTATGCGATCAGGATACATTAAATGTATTGTATATGAAATTTTTCTTTTATATCTATGCACTCTTATCTATTCGGAAATGATTGATTTTTTCAATATTCAAAATTCGCAGCCAATCATTTGAATTTTACTTGATTTGATTGACGTAGTTAACAACGATATAGAAAGATATGCGAGAAGAGCAATTGCAGTATGTAAAACGGCTGGATCGTTACGATGAAACCGCATTCGAAATATAAATACGGCTGGCTCAACATGTAAGGTGCCATTGAACTAAATGCGTATGGTAATACTAGAAGGAAGTGTTATCTTTATTATTGCTAATAATCAATTTTGTTGGATGAACAGGCTTTTATACAATTAACCATTATTTATTTACAAATAATCATAGTCTGGTCCTATGATATATTCTATAATTAAACGAAATTAATTCGAAATTTAATATTAGTTTAATTAGGTAATTTATTTGTAACCAGATTAACCAATCGATTTGGATTTAGGTATTAGTATGAGAAAGTAACAAAATTTTGTATATGTCAATTAGCAAAATTATTGAATAATTGGCTTAGAAAAACGACGGGTTCAGAGATGTTAAATGTGCCGATAGGCTTATCATATTCATGTGTTTTTTATATTCCTTATTAAGACGTTTTTCTTTTTTTCTCATATGAAATTATCGTATTAAGTAACACAAAATTGCTATCAAATTCAGACGTAGCTTGCATAAAATATGGCAGCATGACAAAATTTTTTAAACATTTAACTTCGTTGAGATTTACATAAAACCTATATATATCTTTTGAAATCATAGAGCAGCGACCAGTTGGTATGTTCAATTCACCGCAGTCAATTCTTCGTTGTTGATTTTGAGATGATGCAAGAACGGTCTACCTGTTGCGTTACTACTACGGTAATACAATACATACTTTCGATTTAACGTGATAAAACATATTCGTTAATATTTTAAATGCTATATCTTTATAAAAATATATATTTGGAGTTTTTTTTTTTTCTTTTTTTTTTTTTTTTAAGTAAAACGAGCTATAGATATAAGTATAACTCGAACATATTTTTATTTGTGTTACAGACTGACGAAATTCTGTATCATCGTACTTCATAGCGAAAATAATAATAATGACAGTTACCGATAATGTTCAAAATAAACGTGACACTACTTACGTTTTAAGTAATACTACTTTGCAACAAGAGTATGGCCATACTAAACAAAAAGAATTATCGAACATGGAAGAGTCCTTGGAAGCTCCGAATATTAATGAAAATTCAAATGAATTCGATGAGCCTTGTTCTGAGACGAAACTCATTTTCTCAGAAATAAAACAAAATATAACGGGATCTAACGATTTTAAATCGAAGAAGATTGACAATATCGAAAATGAGGAACCACTTATGAAAACTGACAGGCAAGAAGATCCGGAAGCTAACAATGTTAATCTTAATATACCACCTGATGGTGGTCTTAGAGCTTGGATGATCATGATTGGTAGTTTCTTTATCAATGGTGTTTTATTTAGCGTGATCAACACATACTCTTTAATCTATCTCGAACTACAAAATAAATTATTGGAAGCTGGAGAAACAGAGGTGTCCTCTAAAGCATGTAAGATCATTATGAGATTTTTATTGTTTTAATATAATTAAAATTATCTATAAGGATTTACGACTTATCGTTCAAATTCTCTCTCTATTTTGTATATATTCCATTTAATTGTTACGTTAAAAACATTACAGTTCAACGATCGACACTATCGAATTATTTTTAACATTTTCTTGTTCCTCCTCCGATAACGTTTTATCGAATGCTCCTCGGATAATTTTCTTTGGCGATAAATCACTCACTTCTCCGCTCCAACACCTTTTTATTTCCATGTTTCTTACGTTGTACTGTACTATTGTCAACATCCATACTGTCTGTTGTTAACGATAATCATTTTTTTAAGAATGATTCTTAGGATTCTAGCAAGCTTGAAAGTCCAACAAATTAAAAGACTTGCGACTGTTTTCAACATAATTCCGATAAAATGTCTCTATTGTACAGCAAAACGATTTGTGAATAACTGCTGATAAAATATGTCAAAGATCAATAGAATAAGTTTTTCTTTTTTTTTCTTTTTCTTTGTTTTTTCATTTTTTTTTTTTTTTTATTTTTTATTTTTTTAAGTTAAACGTTTCTCACAATGATGTTTAATCAATATATCAATTAAACCGTTGATAAGATCAATCCTTTTTACAGTTGATGTCCCAGATAATATGCATCTAAATTAACAGTCAATTATAGCTTGATTAATCATAGTAATCATAGTTAATCATTACAATTCAATGCTAGCTTCTTCATATCTCATAATTAATCTGACCTGAATCTTTATGAAAATTTAACTAGCGATCGTCACAATACAATTAGTGAACTAAAAATATTTTTTCATTTCGATAATAATAATTATGACGAAAACGAACGATACTTTCATAGACAGATCTATGTTTTTGTATATATATATATACATATACCATATATATATATACAAGGTGTGAAAGTATCTATATATTTTGCTCGGTCCAGATATTGCAGTTCTGTAAGTTGAATAGAGATCCGCGAATTGAATAAGAAAAGGATAGAGCTCGTTTCGACCAATCAGAACTTATGTTCTTAATATTATTATTGACACGTTCCTACAGTGTGCATGTGAACACTTTAGGTTTGCTTCATTCACTTGGTACATTTAGCTTATCATTATAAAAATGAAAGTTGGAAGATGATTTTAAAACATTTTGTAGATACGTTTTTTTTCTTCTTATATTTAACAGCTCTAGTCGGATCATTGACCATTGGTACAACATTTTTCTTATCGCCAATCGCTGGTATCCTCACTGATAAAATTGGAATTCAGATGACAACATTTTTAGGAGGTGCAATAGCATCGAGTGGTATGTTTCTTTCTTCGATGCTCTCCGATAAGGTAACTTTCTTGATTAGAGTAAATTTTATTGCAATAAAAAATTGTATTACATTCAAACTCGATTTTGAATATTTTATGATCGTCTGTTTTAGGTAGAATTATTGTATATGACCTACGGTGTGATGTACGGACTCGGTGCAAGTCTTGCTTATACACCAAGCTTAGTGATTTTAGGACATTATTTTAAAAAATATCTGGGATTAGTAAATGGCATCGTCACGGCTGGAAGTTCCATATTTACGACGCTTATACCATATCTGATGGAAACTCTTCTTCGAAATTTCGGATTAGAAGGAACATTTCGGAGTTTGGCATTGTTGACCGCAGTTGTCATGCTTTGCGCGCTACTTTTCAAACCGATACCACGTGAGTAGAGTTATGATAGAGTTGGAATAATTTTGTGAAATAAAAAGAAATTACGATAAAAGTACATTTCTCAGTTAATAAACCTCCGCGATGCCAATCACCACAGAAAACGAATTTTCGACATCGTTTGAAGGAAGTTATTAATTTATCGATTTGGAAAAAACGACGATACGTTGTATGGGCTGTTTCTATTCCTCTTGCCTTGTTTGGGTAATTGTGTAATTATTGATAACAGTAAATGATATTAAATAATTATTTAAGATATTGAAGCACATTTTTAATACTTCATATATTTTTTCAGATATTTTGTACCGTACGTACATATCGGAAAATTCGTAGCAACCACATTTAAAGATTCAGATGGAAAATTACCGGTCATGTGTATAGGTATTACTTCTGGAATAGGTCGATTAATATTTGGTTATATCGCTGATTTGCCTAAAGTAAATAGAATATTACTGCAACAGGTATAATACTTTATTATCATTGTACCATAAATAATATATGTATATATACGTAAAAGGTAACAATGATAAAACAATTTCTATTTATTTAGATATCATTTCTAAGCATTGGTATGCTTACGATGTTACTTACCGTAACACCATCTTTTACTATTCTACTACTCATTTCTTTAAGTATGGGATTATTCGACGGATGTTTTATATCGCTATTAGGCCCTATTGCTTTTGACATTTGTGGCCGCGAAGGTGCAACTCAAGCAATTGGATTTTTATTAGGAATGTGTTCCATACCTTTGACGGTAGGACCACCAATCGCTGGTCTTTTATACGATCATACTGGTAAATTAATGAACATTTTTGATTATTAATCATTCATATATATATACTAACATATTAACGCATTTTATTCTGTTATATAGGTTCTTACGATTTGCCTTTCTTATTGGCTGGAGTACCGCCAATAATTGGGGCATTAACTATGTTTTTAATAAAATGTGTTAAGGAAACAGATACTGAAAACGATGCTGATTCAATTACCGAAGAACCAACGGCAAAATCAACTTGCCAAAATGGTCGGTAAAATAGATATTCATGTATTATCAAATCAGCAGTATTCGACGTAACAAGTAATAAGGCAATTTATGGATATATTATTTTGTGCAAAAATATAGCATTTCTCTGTTGCTTATCAAAACTCTCGCTTATCAAAAATAATTCAATAATTTGTAAAAACTGACATATATAAAAAGTAATTAAACACGAATGTTTCCAATAGAAAGCATAGGAGTAACGTCAATTAATCGTTATCGCGTAATCTAAGAGTAGTGGAAATTTTAAATCAATTAATTTTATTTCAAATTTTAATCGCATCTTTTATATAAATACAGTATACAATTCATGTATCTTGACAATAACTGTGATAGATGTATTGTCAATATTTCTGGACTTATCATTCACATAAATTATAAAAACACATGCATAGAAAATGCTTCAATTATGTTTATTTATTATATTGTATTAGATTGTTTGTTTATTTGTTAATTTAATTAGTTAATTAATAATTAGTTACCGTAATTTATTTATAATTAGAAATTTGTGCACAATACCTTGTTGATCTTAATTAAAGGATTTTAACATAGCATACATTGTTGCTTCAAAAAGTAATATTTTAAACATCGTTTACAGGCACAATATTTTTTTAATATATAAACCTAGCACTGTTTTAATCAAAGTAACAATATGAAGATAATTAACATGTATGTGAAAACTAAATGCATGAAATATTTCATAGACATGCTACTTCTATTTGCCATTATTGACAAATATCTTGCACTTGAAATATGAATATATATATATATATATTTTTCTCATATCATATTGAATCAAAAGTGTCTGCATTTATATTCCAATAGGCTTTTATTGTCAATAGGGATGACAAAGGCTATACTTCTATCATCATATTTTATAACAACTATACCAACTGATTGTGGACTACATAAAGACGAAACAAGGATAAAGAAGTATCCATACATACAAACTGAATATGAATCTAATGGAATGTTCACTGTCAAATGTAATAATAGTAGCAGCAATGATGGTTATTTGCAGAATGCAAGATATTCAGAAAGTACACCTTTATTATGTGACAAAAATCAAATGTTATGGTCAAAACCATCCTTATTACAACGTGCAGAGCAATCATCGATGCTTCTTACACTATAATAGTAACATAATAGTGAATCATTGTATTGATTACATAAAAAATATCACATGGATATTTTACTTTATTTTTGTACTATTATTTGATAGATTTAATATATCAATCATAAATATAACTGATAATTGATTTTGAACATTAATTGTAATTGTCAGATTATAACATATAAATCTGTTGCATGTAAAAATAATGACTTTATAGTTAAATATTTAACGTTGATATTAATTAGTAAAAAATGTATTGTAGTAGATACTGCAAATATTACTATTAGTCTTTGATTTAAATTATTTTATGCCATTTCTGTTATAATTGTAATAATATAAAATAATGATGAAAATAAGTTTTAACTTTCTAATTGAAGTACAATTATATTTCGATAAAAAAATTTTATAGAACGTTATATGATGTTTAATATAATGATGACAATAGAATGTATGTATAACAGCCTACATGTTATTTTTGTTATCACTTAAATGGTTGTTTACTTAATGTTGTATGTTTGAATATAATTGTATAATAAATTTGTTATAGTATCATTTTTCTATCATATAGTATCATCTATTTTTTTTTTTACAAGTAGTTAATATATTCGAAGTAACAACATTGAGTAACCAACTTCAATGTGCTACTCTCATAATCATTTATTTCATTCATTCATCCCATAATCAAATTACATTATACAAATATAAAAAAAATGGTCTATCAATTTGTATATGATGCAACTCGATTGAATTTACAAATAAAAAAAATCCTATTTAACATTATTTTATAATAATTCTTTTTGCTTTAGAAAATTATAATATACTATTATATTATATATTATTTATTTATAGATAAAAGTCAAAGAATGAATCAATAACATTGGTAAAGTAATTTTATATAAAAGAATGTATGAGTTTATATAATTCCCATTATCTCCGTTACAGATGAATCAAATGACCTAAAGAATATAATTTATATATATATATTATTATTAAAAAAAATTAAAAATTTAATGTTATGCAATTAAATTTTTTATAAGTTAAAGTGACACAAAAATATTTAAATATGAATAGTCTTACTTAGAGTTGATTGAACTGCCTGGCACATAAAATGGATTACAAACTGCATTGGAATAGGCAGTATGTAGTTTTTTAAATATCTGTCGATACATTAAAAATTTTACATTTTTATATATGGTAATATTATATTAAAGAATTGTGTAATTATTACCGTCTTTACTTCATTATCTCGAAATGATATATTAGATGATTGTAATACTATCACAAATTTAATTTTTGTATTCGTAGCATAACCATAGCTAGAACAAAATTTCATATTATTAATGATTTATTTGATTCAATATATTAAGAGTAAAATTAAATACATACATTTTGAACTCTTCCGTGGTAAGTAACAAACCTAAATATAAATCACGAATATCAACCGCTGTCTTGTTTCCTATGTTTAACTTTTCTTCTATAATATCAATAGATGTATGCACTTTATAATGAAATTGCAATGCAAGGGCTTCGTCTGCACATTTAATATACTTGGGAGAATTCTATAAAAAAATGTTACAGAAATTTTTATAAAATCAGACTACATAGAAAATAGAGAAATCCTCAAAATATAATAAATATGTGATCAATTAATTTCTATACAAGAAGAAAATATTTCATAAAAATATTATTCTTGTATAACCTATAAATCCAAAGAAAACGAATACTCGCATCTTTTCCAATAACAGCCACACATACAGCCATGGTAATAAATATTATAATACGCAAAGTATTTGATTTTACATAAATAATATAGAAAATAATAATATCGAATTTTATATAAAACTATGAAGATTGAATGTTTACACGTTCTCACAAATGTACATTGAAGTTCTCAATCTTCGACTGAGTAACAAATATGTAATACGAATCTATACGAATCTATATATATTTCTTACAAGAAAAATATTACTATTTCATGTTATTATTTAATTATGAATTTTTTAAAATTTCCTATACATTATAGCGCATATTGGTGTAAGATATTTATTTTGCAAAATTGTAATATATATACATATACATATGTAATGTATATACATATATCACACAAACGTGCGCGCGCGCGCGCGCGTTCCCATGCAAATATTTTTTTTCTACATAGCTATCAAACGTCTGCGCAATATTTAACTAGAACAATATTTATGTCCTATAGACATTAACTAAATATAGAACATTTACACAATGATATACAATTGAAATGAGGTTAAAATAAACTTAATTCCACAATAATCTAATTAACCATCATGTTTATCAAATTACATTATAAAATGATATTTAAAAATAACAAATATATTATACATATATACATAATGAATAAGAATATAATATAGTACAAAATTATACTTTGTTTTAATCCATTTTTTTGGATTATTTATATCTACTTTTTAACGTTCTGTACTTGTGTAGCATATATAAAGTTTCCAATTCTTTTATAATATAATTTCCATGTTCTATCATTTTATCAATTTGCTCAGGATTACATTCTTCTTTATTTTTATTAAATGCTCTTCTTAATCTTGTTCTGAAATATTCATAACCTTTTGGATGATCATGTCCCATATACAAAAGCTATAATAAAAAAGAAAAACAGATATTTGTGAATAATTATAAAGTTATATATAAGAATTTAAATAATAAATCACAGAATATCTTACCGTTTTATACAATTGTATCACTTTACTTCTTTGAGACATAATAATTTATTATAACTTATAAATTAGATCTTACTAATTTATTATCCAATTTCTCGAACATATCATATATATATTATTAAAACTTTTGCACAATGCATTAATAGAAAATTTTCATAAAAGAAAATCCTTTGATTGAATAGTATCTTGCAAAAAATAATTGATTATGTCTTCTTCTTTACCGACCTATTAATAAATTTTTCTCCGTCGATAAATATGTAGTTTAAGAAAACTATTTTGTATTCCTTGACAAGATACCACGTATCTCTTCAAAGTTTATTTATTACTTAGTTTACTTATTACTAGTATAGATCTTTTAATAATTGATGAATAAGATGAATATGCCAATAGAGGAGAGTAATATACAACAAATGCTTAATAAGCTGTCAGAAAATGAGGTTAGCATATTTTTTATTATAATAAAACAATATATTTAATATAAAGTTAAAATTTTAAATAATTTATTACAGATAATTGTGAAAGAGAAATTAGACAATTTATTGTCTAGACATTGCTACATAGAATCGAAATTACAAAATATAAATAAAGTATTACCTAAGGTTGTTTTTATTCGTGGTGAAGCAGAAAAGTTTCGGAATATGATTAAACATACAAATGAATTAGCTGAAAATGTAAGCTCTAAAGTACGACAGCTTGATTTAGCAAGAGTAAGTAGACAGAAATAACTGATGTTATGAATAGAGTTACTAAGAGAAATGTTTCTAAAAAATAATAAAAAATTATATTTATAGAGCAGAGTATGTGAATGTCAAAGAAGAGTTAATGATATATTAGATCTACAATTATGTAGTGAAGGTGTTGCAACAGCTTTACAAAATGAAGATTATGAACAAGGAGCTGCTCATGTTCATCGCTATCTATCAATGGATCAACAATTGCTTGAAAGAACAGCTGAAGATGTATCAGGGGATCCTAGTACTATTAGTAGCTCTCTTTTCACATTGCAACAAGCAGCTGTACAACTAAGGACAGTAGTTACTCATAAATTTGATGAAGCTGTTAAATCTGAAGATTTAGCATCTGTTGAAAGATTCTTTAAAATATTTCCATTATTAGGAATGCATTTAGAAGGCTTAAAAAAGTTTTGTAGTTATTTATGTTCCAAGGTAATTTTTTTACTCTATATGACTATATATGAATCTATATATTCATAGAAATATTTTACATTCACCAGCTTCACGATACAGCACAAAAAAATTTGAAAGCTGCTTTAGAGATAAAAAGCAATGATAAACGAGCATCTGTTATATTTGCGGATACTATGACCTTATTATTTGAAGGAATTGCTCGAATTGTAGAGGTACATCAACCTATAATAGAAACATATTATGGACCTGGGAGACTTCTAATGACTGTATCTATATTACAAAAAGAATGTGATAGGTAAAATTAAAATAAATTAAGAAAGATCTTTTTTATTTGTCAAATAAATTAATATTTATATATTATTATATAGGCAAGTTAAAAAAATTGTTGTAGAATTTATGAAACACAGAAATATATCTAAAAAAGTACAAATGATAAATGACTATGTCAGAAAACCAAATTCAGAAAGAACTGATCCTAAAGAACTTGATCTTTTATTAGGTGAAATCACTATAATGCATTCAAGGGCAGAGCTATATATTCGTTTTTTAAGACGAAGAGTTAAAGTAAGTCTTTTGAACTCGTATAAATAAAATTATATATTTAATTTTCTTTTCTTTACAGAATGACATAGAAATTAGTACCACAAATACTACACAATGTACAGATCTATTAAATGAATTTGAAAGAAATATTTGCAATTCTGAGTTAGCTCATAATATGCAAGAACTTATAGGTGCTTATCTTGCTTTAGAAAGATATTTTTTGGAAGAGAGTGTTAATAAAGCTGTTGGTATGGACACATTAGAGCAAGATCAACAAATATCTAGTATGGTGGATGATGTTTTCTTCATAGTACAAAAATGTGTAAGGTACTGTTTACTTTTATAATCTATACTATCAATGATGGATAAATGAACTATAATATAAATTTTTATTATGTTTTCAGACGTTCTATATCAAGTTGGAGTATAGATGGTGTTTGTGCTGTTATCAATATAGCTTGTGATATATTGGAAGGAGAATTTGCCAACAGATTAAGAAATAGATTGCGTCAAGGATATCTAGCAGGATACTTGGATTTAACACAAGCATATAGTGCTTTACAAACAAGTATACAACATGGGCGTTTACAAACATCAGACACTGAACTTGCCCGTCTTATGTTTTTGGTAAGATAAATAATACTATTATATAGTTACATATTTATAGCAATATTTAAGCTTATATTAATTACTACTTATTAATTACTACTAGGCATATTTAAATAATACAGATGTTAGTATTGAATATGTTGAGACATTATGCAAAACTCTGAATGCAGAAATAGGTGCAACCTTTCCTAATATGGTAGAAAAAGATAGAGGAAAAATAGATAGTTGTCTTTCTGGTTTGAAAGGAGTAACTTCTATTTTAAGGGCTATTACTGATTATGGGTTAGAACAATTACGTGTAAGTGCTGTAAAACCTAGAGTAACACCTTGGGTAGATGCCTTTTCTTCCATAGATCATCATATTAATGAGGTTGGTATAAAATAAAGGTTTATTATTAAATCTGTCTTTATTTACATATAAGATTATAGTTTTAATAAAATTATTTGATATTATAAAACATAATGACTATACTTTCAGGATGAATTATTAAGATATGAAACGGATGAACCTTTTGTACAAATTTTAGTAACAAATTTAGAAGGTTTACTTCAAGGTTTTAAGGGTCATTTAACAACATCAAATTATGATGCTCTTATTGGTATTTTGACTAAAGAAGTTACAGCACGTTTAGAAAAAGTTGTTCTGAAATCGACCTTTAACAGAGTATGTGTTTGTTTCATATAATAATTAATGTATACAATTCACATATATATTTATATATATTAACAGAGTTTACATATTTATTATTTCAGGCTGGTGGACTTATTTTAGATAAAGAAATTAGATCATTAGCTAGTTATTTGGCAGCAGCAACATCATGGTCTGTACGAGATAAATTTGCACGTTTAACTCAAATAGCAACTATATTGAGTATAGAAAAAGTTGAGGAATTGGCAGATTATTGTGGTGCAGATGCAATAGCATGGAGATTAACTACTGCAGAAGTTAGACACATTGCATCTCTTAGAATAGATCTTAAGCCTGAAGATATTAAAAGATTTAAGATTTAGTTTCTATTATATCTTTATTTTAAAACAGTACTCTTTTAATTCCCTATGAATAAACGAGGGCTTCACTAGTGCATAAATTTTAAATTACTCATTTATATTTATCATCGTTAAAAAAATTTTTTTTTTTTTTTAATTTTTAGTATAAAAACTAATATTTATATGGTAATAATAAAATACTATTTGTATATATACATCTTAATATAAGCAAGATACAATTCTAAGTATGTACAATGTTAAATTTCTTATATTGCTTTAGGTTAGCTCTACAATCAAAGTTTGAAGAACTCCAAATTTTATAAGAATTGATTAATATTTCATTTAATATAATTTTATCTCAATGTAAAAGATTTGAATATTAATATTTAAGCATCACATTGTTTAAATAGTGCTATTAGTTTATGTAATATAGTACAAATATTAATCATGTATCAAATCGTATGTAAGGTAAAAAAGTAAAGTCAAAGTAATCTGTATGATTTTTACATTTTCAATTTTTCTTCCTGAGCTACAAGCTGATTTTTTATTTTTTGTAGTAGTTCTTTCTTTACTGAATCAGGTACAAGTGTTCGTGCTTTACTTGTAACCATAGAAAGTAGTGTATCATAAGTTATATCGTGACCATGTTCTTTTATTATTTCTTTGCAGATTAATTTAACCTGATCTCTCCATCCACATTCCACCAATCGTCGTCTTAAAAGTTCTTTCAATCTAAAATCAATTCAATTAGTTTTATAAACTTTAATTTCTTTTTCTTTAATTTAATAAATTTATATTATATTTTCATATATTTTTGAGTGTTGATATAAATAAGGCATATTATTTAAGATTAAAATGGCACTAGCTCTTCGTTGTTTTATATCAAAGATATTTACTAAATATTAGTTATTGATAAACATATTTTCTATTTAACTTTTACTATTTAAAAAAAATTTCAATTAAACTCTACTTGCCCGTCACGATCGCCAACCATGACTAATCTTTGATGCGGAGCAGTCTTCATTAATAATTGAAATTTATTATTATTCCTTAAATACTTTCGTATATTTTATATACAATGTTTAAGTTAGCTTGAATGTTATTCTGTCGTATAACAAAATCGAACCTAATCGAACCTGATTGAACCTGACCGAGCATGATGCGGCTTAGTTCTTTTTTAAGACTCAACGTGGCGTTAGTGATTCTATTAGAAATTGAATCAAATTTAAAAATGAATGAACGGCGACTTAAATCAATGAATAGTTTATTTAAATTATATATAAATTCAAAATACTAATCGCATAAAATTTGATGTTTTAATTAACTGTCTCTATTTTATTTTTTTAATTCATTCTTTTGTTTTTCAGATTCTTCATGCAGCTTTTCCAATTCTTCGATTAATTTATGCCTTTTTGTTATATCATTTTCAATTCTCATGAATAATTCAGACCCGTGAAAAACAAGACGTTTAAAATCTTGACGATTAAAACGCAAAACTTCACAAACTTCTAAAGCTAAAACAGATTCAGTTCTTCGCTTTTGAGAATTGATTAAAACTTCTGCACCAAAATGATCGCCATTTTCAAGATGGCAGATCTGATTAAATGAATACAAAATATTACAACATGTATAATAACATTATAATTAATTATTATTACTTGCTAATTAAATTAATAACATTATAAATAGTAAATGATTTATACGATCTACTTATAATTAATCAATTATTAATACTCACTTCTTTACCCCAAAAAGTAATTAATGCAACTGTTCCACTAGCTATGAAGTACATGCAATCACCTTCTTCATGATATTTATAAATTATATCGGTTTCCATATAAATAACTGGTTTTAAAACCACTGTGAAAAGAATCAAAATATTATTTCAAATTCTTATTTTTCACTTCATTTAAAAAATTTTAATTTCTTATTTAATGTAAATATTACTAATCAAATGTCCAAGTACTGTTGGTGATAAATTATGAAGAATTTGTGCAGTTTCTAATAAACCACGTCTAATATATGTTATAATTTCTTGATTAAGATGGTCTAAAAAATATATATCATGATTCATATTATGTGTAATAATTTAAATCTCAAAATCGTGCACTTATTATATTTCTGTAAACTGACTGGAAAGAGTATTTAATATAACTTGCTCTTTAAAAAAGTTGCCTTGAAATTTATAGTTAAAATAAGCAACAAGCTTATCTTCAAGATGTTTTGGAAGTTTTTTTTCTCGTATATAATTTTTTACTTCATATATAATTTGAGAATATTTTAGTTCCGGTTCTATCAATGATTTTATTAATTGCAGAATTATCACTATTGTTGATAATATATTGAAATAATTAATTATAGTTAAAAATATATTATATTAAAAAGAGTTATTATACTTTCCGATTACGTAAATCAAATAGCATTTTCCAAAAATAAGTAGTATACAATGAGCAATCTTATCTAATATTCCAAATGATTGGAATTCAATAAAACTAAATCCAATTAAATTACTTAAACCAATATGTAAAGATTCTATATAAATTATCCAATCAGACTGTTTATATAATTCTGTATGTACTAAATATGTTCCAGAGTTCTAAAAATGATTAATGTTATAATTATAATAATTGTATAATAATTCTAGAAATCTCCATACCTCTATACTATCTCCAATTATATGCATCACAATATACGGAAATACATAAGAGAAACAGTTGCTCCAATGAAAAATTAACAAAGTCTGAATAATAAGCCAGATAATTGTTCTTTGAGCATGAGAAGTTCCAAATATCTTATAAATGAATATATAATTCCTTTCACATCATATAAATGAATTTGAAACCATTGTTATTTCATTGATACTTACAATATTAAGTTGTCTAATATACTGATGTAGTGTACCTAATCTTATAATTTTTAATATAGGCAAGATCTCAAGTAAAAGAAATATGTAATTTGAATTAGGACCAGATGGTAATATACGTTGTTTATAAAACCAAGTATAAGGAATAGAGGAAACAAGGTCTATGAAAAAATATGTTTTTACATAATGCCTTAAACAGAAATCATATTATTAAATATATTTAGAATTTTCTATACCTTAAACATTTTTTTTTAAAGTATTTTTAAAAAATTTACCGTATTATTAAACAAGGATTTAGAAATATTTTATGACTATCCATTGATACATATCCAGTTATAAAATTAAGAATTATATCAATTATACAAATTACATATGCAGGATAAACAATTGTTAATAATTCAGGATCTGCGTTTTTAGCTATTCTACAAAATGTTATGATATATGGTAAGATGACAAAAATATAAAGATATGTTATTATCATCAGGAAATCCCAAAAAAATCTGAAAGATTATATATATGCGTAATATAATTATTACATATTTCTTTTTGATAATACCTTAAAATACTATATGGATGTATTATCCACCAATACGATGAACGACCATGCCTTCTTTTTTCAAAAGCTATAGCAACACGACTACGTAGACAAAAACGTGTCAGCGGATGTTTCGCGGATACCAAGATCAATTTTTGATAACGTCGTTTCCAACGAGCGAAAATATTTGCATTAGGTGGTAACTTTGGCAAATTGCTATCAGAGATTTGCTTTAATTTACAAATATGTACACTTAATTGTCTCTTAAACATTCCTAAATTTATAGGTTCGTTCGTGAATTTTAATTAAATTCGTTATGAATAAATTAAAACAATAGAAAGTTTAGTCTTATTTTTACTGTTCTCATACAATTACATACAGCAAATGAATAAGTAGAGTATGAATAAGTATAATCAAATTAAAAAATTATCGTGCAAACTGAGATTAGTAAAATTATTAATTATTTGTATATATTCATATAAAGAATATAATACTCTAGAGTCTTTTTAAGACTCCGAAAATAATACTATAACAGTAGAATTTTTTTATAAACTACGATATATTTAAAATAATCTATATTTCACTTTTTTCTATTAAAGATCTTAGTTTAGTATATATATTTTTGAATATTGAGCAAACAATGCAAAATAAAATAATTGCCGCGTTACTGTTTACAAAATTATAATAATAAGTATAGTCCAAATTAATTACTTATTCCTTATCTAACAGTAATCTATATTAAGTGATATAAAAGAAAATCTATCAACTTATTCAGACAGTTTACGCATTTTCATTTGAAGTTCAAATCGCCTATTTGTTCTTACACCTTTCAATAGTACTCTATTTTCTTCTCGTTTATCTTTTCTACAAATATATATGTATACAATTAATATTTATTATATATCAAAAAGATGACAATAATTTAAGAATTTATTACTTACTGCCGAATTGTTTGTTGCTTTCTTAAAATAATATTGGCAGCGTCAGCTTTTCTTATCTTAAAACCAAATTTAGTATATCCATCACGTTTTGTGTCTGTTGGTTTCTTTATATCTTTTGTATCTAATTTTGAAACATTGAATGTTTCTGTGAACAATAAAAACATAATTAATTCATACATACTTTAATATATTTTATAATTTTATTAGATAACTTCAATAATGAAATAAACTTCAAATGATTGTTACTTAATGCTTCATGTTGCTTTATCAGGCGATTCTTATTATCTACAAGAGATTCCATTTTAGAAAACAGTTTTTTATGAATTTCTGAAAAATTTGGGATTTTTTTAGCACTACGTATTTTGACATCTGCAATTAAATATAATTTTAATTATTGCATCTATATATAGAATAAGATATAACATTAAATATTCAAATACATTGTATATAAACTTAATTGTTTTTTAGATGTTTTACCTTTTTTTTCTTCATTTCCAATACGTTTTGTTTTGTTTAATGTAGAAGAGAGTGTCTTGTTCATTTTTCTGTTATTGCTATAAAGTGTTCTATTAATATTAGACGTAGACCTAGACCTTATCTTAAATTCAGAGTCTGATTTGCTTTTATTTGTAAAATCATTGGACATAGAACTTGATCTTTTATGAGAAATATGTCTTATAAGTGGAGTTTTTCTAATTGTTAGATTACTGATATGTTTTGTTTTGGGTAAAGAAATATTTAGTTCAGTATTCTTAGTTTTTAATACTGTTGTCTGTGATTTATTAATATTCTGAGATTCTGAACCAGCAAAACGAACTTTACATGCTCTTTTTATATCTCTTTTATTATTGGTATCTGTTTCTACTGCTCTACGTTTTCTGCATTGTTGTTGTAAATGTGGAGTTTTTGGTTCAAGAAGCTCATATGTCTCATTTGCTATATTTGTTTCCTTATCATTAATATTTATATTTTTGCTATTGTTATATGATCTATTTATTTTATTGGTAGAATTTAAACAAATAGAATTTTTATACACTTTGTTATCAATAACAGGACTACTTGTTGCTTTTGGTGATAAATGAAGTATATCCTCATTTAAATGCGATTTACGTTTTATTTGTGGGCTTGATGTTAAATTTAAAGAAAATATATTATTTAATACTTTATTGTTCCTTGATAATATATTTGATGAAATTGAATTTTTGGGAGAATCTGAATCTTTAAATAATTCTTTCTGCACGTTCTTTACATCGAATGTGCTATTCATTGGATATTGATTATTCTGAGACTTCACTAATAGGCTTAAGTTATCCAGTAATGGAATTTTTTCAAGTATCACCATTGGCTTTTTTGATATTATTTCTTTATAGTAAGCTGATAGATTATTTACATTTGTCAAATTTAGTTCTAAGTCATTTGCTTTACTTGACAATGACTTCCGATTCATATTACCTCTTTTGGATCTATTAAAAACTTTTGTTGACATATCCTTATTTGAAGATTTTTTCACTGTTGTTACAGTGAACCTTTTACCTTTTTCATTAGATAACTTCATCTTCAATGATTTACGTTTTGGTTTTGTGCTTGGTGATCTTAATACAATTTTTGGAGATTTTGATAACCTCGATAAATTTTCAGTAGATGCATAACTTGTGTTTAACTTGTTTAGTCTTACTTTAATATTATTCATTGAAACATTGTTTAACGTACTGTTATTCAAACTCTTTCTGCTTCGTAAAGATATTTCAGAATTATTAAATTTAGTTGTGGAATTAACAGAAAGCATGAGCTTTCTAGGTGTTTTTGATATTCCACGAGGAACTTCAGAATGTGTTTTTGGAGAAGTTAAATGCAAAGGTGATTTTCTTGGTGTCTTGGTTGTTCTTTGGGGTGTTAAAGTTACCGAAATAGGGCTACTTTTAGGAGTGATAGTTTCATTGAGTGATATGTTACATATGTTTTTCAGTTCATTATTTATGTTCAAATCGATAAATGAATCATTAATTAGTTCACATGATATGTTATCAATATCCCTTTCAGTATCAATGTACATAATACCTTTATTTGCCTTTGGCACAGGATTTTTTACCATTATAGATTTATTAGGACTATTACTTTTTTTTGATTTTTCCGACTGTATATTCCTCTTTGAAAATTTTATATTCAAAGATTTTTCATTTTTTAGTTGTTTATCTTTTACAATTGAAAGATTGGTCTTATTTTTCTTTTGATTTTCTACATTCTTCTCAGCAGGTTGTAAAGAATTTGAATTTCTATTTATCAAATTACGTGCTTTTGATCTTTTTCTTGTGATAATAACAGATGTATCTATTACACGGCCTACAAATGAAAAATACAATGTTATAATATGAAAAATATTTTAAAAATAAAATAACTTTATAATTAAAAATGGCATAATATTGTAAAAAAATTTAATTATTCAATGAAATCACATTTCCGAAGATAAATTTTAATATCTTTTTTCTTCATATGCTATTAATTATAAGTTTATCTTTATCAAAATAACCGCCATATTTATATTATAGGACATGTATTGTATGACTGATGTATTATATGACTAATTTTACTAAAACATTAAAAGATAACTTTGTATTTATATCTTACATTTTCTTAATTTTCTCGGAGACATAATAGCTTTAATACTATCTCTTGTTAGATTCACTATTTATTAACACTCTGAATAGGTAGTCAAATTCGTATCACTTGAATTGTATCATGTAGTGATAGACTAAACCTTGTATAGTACCGAAAGGCACAAGGATTCGATTAACTGAAATTGCAGATGGCGTTAATATCTTTATCAAGTATCATTTAATAATCAAAAATTTTAATAAAAATAAACCGTTATAATTCTTACCTAATACTTTTGAATAGCAAATATTAGCCAATTGATGCCGAATAAAACGCTAAAAGAATTTGCGCCCAATTGTTCTAGTTCATTTTTTTTCAACAAGATGGTGTTTTATAGAAACATTAATGCCATCTATGATTTTAGTACGATATAATTGAAACTTGCTTTCCTGTCCGAGTTTGACCCCCCTGTAAGAACATGAAAAGATGGCGACATATTTAAAACGAACGTCAAAATTATTTGATATTTCATTGTTGCGGTCTTCCGCAGATGTGAATTTAAGAGATTTAATGTGTCCCGTGTGCCGCGGTATATTAATCGAGCCAGTGACACTTCCTTGTACACATAACCTCTGTTTACGGTGCTTGAAAGGAACCTTTGAACATAACAGCCTGAGTTGTCCTCTTTGCAGAGTTCGTGTAGGTTCTTGGCTTCGTACAGCTACCAAGTCTGAAACATTGGTCAATAACGCACTTTGGGAACTCATCAGGACTAAATTTCCCAAAGAGGTTGAAGACAAATATAACGGAGACGACGGAGAAATTGAATTGGACGCTGGTGGGTGACATCGCCTAACAATAAACAAACATAACATAACCCCAATTTCATTAAAGCGCACACACACATATATACATACATATATATATACACACACATATATTACACACACACATGCGTATGTGTATGAGCATTATTGATATTATTTCATCTATAAAATTATTTTTTAGTGTTTATTTGTAGAATTTCTTTGTTTTATGTCATGGTATCTATTGGAGTATTAGCACTTTGTATATATCTGAATTAATACATTTACTATTGTTTACTACGTTGATACGTGTTTCTTATATAGATTTAAATAAGTGTAGAGAAAAATTTATTTTTTCCATAGGATTATCAACCAGGAATAAAATACTTAGTGCTGCTGGAGAGATTCGAAGAGAATATGAAGCACAACTTCAAATGGCTGAAGAAGAAATGCGACGTCAAAGAAAGAACGAAGAAATTGCTAGCCAGGCATTAATAAGAAAAATTCAAGTTGAAGAACAGCAGCAACAATTTGTGCAGATAGCACGAGATCAATTATTAGCTCAGAATTTAGCAAAAAAACAATTAGCAGAGAAACAAAAAGAGGTGACAATGTACCAAAATGAATGCGCAACTTCGTCAATGTCAAATTGTTCAGTTGATATATCTAAGATTGATACTAAATCAATGCCCTTACTTAATACAGAAATTTTTAAATTTGATGGGCCAAGTTTGGAAACAAGAAAAATGAATCTTTCAGAATTAAAAAATGGTTCTGAATTAAGACGTTCTAATATTGCTTTGATATCCAAAATTCGTGCAGAAAGATATGCGTCGAATGCAAAACCAAACACATCAAATGCATATAAAGATTCTACTGCTAAGTTTTGTTGTCAAAAGTCAATGCCTGTTTATAACACAATTGCAAGAACTTTAAAACATCAAGTGGTAACTAAATTTACTCAGCCTGGAACTTCAAATTATACTTTGGAACCAGGATGTTCCACTTCTAAAATTTATGGTATGCAGAGCAAAGAAGAATTACGTGTACCCAGTGATGTTTTAAGTAGTAAAAAGAAAAGTTTAGGTGTAGAAGTTTGCATGACCTCAGGAAATGGCGATGAAAGAATTGGTAGTGCTGAAAGTGCAGGTAGTCATGATAGTATTAATCAAGAAATTCATCACTTTAAACCAATTAAGGCAATGCCGCGAACACCTTTCAAAATGTCCATAGGTACATACGCTTTTCATAACATTTTATTTGTTTGTGAATATGGAATATTTGTTGATATAGATATAATTTTGATTAGATATAATTTGTTGATATAATTTTTTCATGATATTTTTATAATTATATATACAGATGGAAAACAAATTGAACCCAAATTGGTTAGGGTAATACCTGTTTTGAAGAGAATATCTAATGCTTTACCAAAGGCTCCGTCTCCAACTCATTTAAAGAGAATTATTGGATGTTCATGGAGTGCTTTTAAAGGTTTGTATTTGAAACAAACTTGTTTAAAAAATAACCACAATTAATGTGCTGATATTATGTTATATAGGTAAAATTAGACAAGATATGAAAATAAAGGAGAATGTGTGTGAAACTAGAGAGAGAATAGATGAAGTTCAACAAAATCCATCAACTTCTCTTATCCAACAAGCCAATGTTACTGTTAATAAATCATCAAAGTCTCAGATACATGATGCTATACGCAGACTTGATTTGGTTCCTGAACTATCATTTGATAGTAATAAGAATTACGCAAAGAATATAAATAGAACAATTAATGGTACTAAAGTAAGCAAAAAATTAATCTTAGATGAGCATGTAACTTCAGGGAAAGTTCAAAAGACTTGGAGATCACAAATAAAGAACGGTATGATGGGAAAAAGTAAGAGACAAAAGAATATATGGTCAAATAGAAAAGATGTTGAGTTTACATTAGATAAAGAAGAAGTGAATGATAATGTAACAAATTCTGACCCCACATTTAACAATGCTAAGGAACGCTTAGAATGTAATGAAGATTTAGAATGTAATGAACAGAAAAAAGATAGTAGGGATAATGTAGCTGTAGAAAACATTGCAGAAAGAATTAAAAAGAGGAAAGTAAATATTAAAAGAAAGAATTCACAAGTTGAACAAGATAAAATACTTGAAGCAGACAGTGGCGATGAGAGGAAACCTACGAATAAAAGAGGTATAAGGAAAAGAGCTTTATCTAGGAAAGGTAATAATCAAACGTCAACAAGTGAACGATCTGCAGTTACTGTACAGAAAAGGATAAAGTTAAATTGTTCGCACAAGCCTACATTAAGGAACAAAAGTGAAAACATAAAAAATGATGTAGATAGTCTCAATACAAGTTGCAAAACAATTATTCATGGATTAAGAAAGTCAAGTCGAAATATAAAAACAGTAGTTAATAATTCTTCCAAAAAATATGATCAAGATGTTTTAAATAAAGAAAATCCAAACAGCAATAAACATAATTATGATCGATTGAACTCGTGTCTCGTATCACAAGGAACTATATCAAATAATACCAATAGTGCTACAATAATCAATGAGAATGTTCTATCAAACGAAGAAGTAATTAAAGAACAAGAAAGAATAGAAAGATTGGTTCTTCAAGAGAAAGAAGATTTTGAATTGGCTCAAAGATTACAAACTAAGTTTGATGAAATGGAACGAATAGCTGGACGTACACGGCGGTCTAGAAAAGCGATTGAAAGTGGAGATATTTCCTTAGATTTATACAAAATAGAAGTAGGAAGGACTGTGCATAAAGTAGCTAGTACACATACTGCCAAACGATCAACTCTTAATCAAACTGTAAGCAGTGAAACTAAACAACGTGGTAGGCCTCGGAAGAGTGTGAAATAAATAAGAAAAGTTGTTACTGCATTTCAACTAAGAACCCTCCAAGACGGATGTTCCTATAAAATATAAAATACAACTTCAATTTCTTTTTCTACAATATATATTCTAAGTATTTTGAAGAAAATACTTGCACGATATAATATGCGTACCTGGATATATTATGACAACTGTAAATGAAGGATCAGAGAACTTAAATGAAATTTTAAGAGAATAAATATAGTCATTGACATATATATTTCATTGAAGATTGACAAACTTGGATTTGATCAAAAGTTTGTTTTCATGATTTTTATGGATTACTAATTATTTAAAGATCTTATTGTTTATAAGTAATTTTATGTTAATATAAAATTATTCGCGCAAAAATCAAAATGAGAAATGGCAGTAGGTGTTTCAATATTGTAGAATTTAAAGCAATACGGATGCTTGCATAAAAGAAAAAGCAGAGATATTAAGATTCTTCAAAGAAAGAGAAAAGATTTCCCTATTAACTTTCATTCCTCTTGTATATTCATCTTCGCTACAAATATCGATTTTTTCTCGGCGTTGAAAGTGCCAAATATGTGACGAATATAAACACAGCTGATAATGTTGACGACATACCGAGAAAAGGACGATAATGATTATTGGAGTAAAAAGAGAAGGGAGACCTTAATGAGATCATAGATCTCTGCTGAAAAGATATCACATACCTTTTAATAATTTCTTTCAATATGATATAATATTTCTTTACTTTTCTTAAATAGTTAATGATTCATATAAATCTATTTCAATGACTTATAGAATACACATCAACCAGTATTTCAATATTAACTGATTACCTGCCTTTATATTTTTTGAATATCGAAGATATTGTAATATTTATTAACATCTTAAGGAAACAAAATGCTTCCAGAAGTTAGAAGTTCAGTTCGTTTGACTGCTAAATACACAAATTACCTTTTTAAATGCAGCATCATTACAAGCTCACATGCCATTGTACATACGAATTTTACTACGTACTATGTATATATTAATTGGCAGCAATTTGAAAAAAAAAAAAAAAAATAAAAAAAATGAAAAAAAAAATGAAAAAAAAAGAAAAAAAAGAAAAAAAAAGAAAAAAAATAGAAAAAAAAGAAAAAAGGAAAAAAAAAGAAGAATATAGGTATTCATTTAAATAACATTAGATAGATAAATATGTGTTTAGATCATATTTATGCTGCAAATGCCTACTGTCAGCTCTGACGGCCTTAATTATGATACTGCTATTATTGTAAATATATTAAGATTAGGATTATATATGCTGAAAAAAAGAAATCATAATGAATATGAAAGTTACTAAAAAGACGAAATATTTTGCTCTATATGACAAATTCTAAATGTTTCTAAATGAAATTAGCTGAACAATTATATTAGCAAAGATTAAGCGACAGTTCCTTTAATAGAATTTCATTATTAGTGATCCTTATCTTTTTATAGATCACTTATACAGATAATATCATATTGTGGGTTAAGAATTGGCAATTAGCTTTCATTTATTGTGATAGTTACAGTATTTTTCACCTTCACAGTTTTGGTTTCTTTATTTAGTAAGATTAACATAATAGTTCGTGAAGTCTTCATTAATATTATTGATGGTAAAGATCAATATTATTAGTGTCATAACATTTTATGATACTTTTCTAATAATTAGTACTCTTATATTTTAGGCTATAATAATACGCATAAATAAGTTCGGTTAAAAATGTAAACACGTTTTAATTCTAAGTGAATATAACCGAATTTATTTATTTTATGACCCAATATGTACAAGGCAATATTTTTTTTCTTCTATGTCAGAGCTTTCTAACTATTGTAGTATTGTATAAAAACAAATGCTCATAGTATTTCATATGTAAGTAAAATTTCTTGAACATATATATATCCATATATATAATATATGGAAAATTATCAGATGGTCCTATGGCATAACAAATAATCAGCTCTTTCTTGCGTTACACAGCTTTAATAAAAAAAAATAAAAAAAAAAAAAAAAAAAAAAATATCTTCTAAATAGTTTATAAATGTTCAAAACGTTCACTGTTTTTTTTTTTTTTTTTTTGTTTTTCTAAAACCGTTAGATAATTTATTTTTTTCTTAAATTTTCATATTTTGAGTTACTATAATTATAAATGATGAGCGGTTAATAATATCGCATTCCAAAATTATGTCAATGTTAATGTGACATTTGGAAGTAAAAGATAGTCATAGATTATATAAAGTTATTTTATATATATATTAAATGTAAAAGCTAAAAAAAAAATAATGACGCGATACACCATAGTCATAAAATTTTGTTCCAAATACATGTAGACGACGCTAATGCTCAGAGATTATTATTATTATTATTTAAATAATTAATTCAAGGTCGTCGATATATATATATATATATATATATATATATATATATATATATATATAATTTTCTTTTTCCATACATACATATGTATGTCACACATGATCAGTTTATTGGCATGTATTCATGCTCCTGTATGTGTGTGTATATACATATGTTTATATGCATATACATATATGTGAATACAATCTAATAATAAATCGAAACGAATCGTGTACAATAAAATTTTTGTGAGATTGTTAAATAACACTAGAAGAGACAATTAAAACGATGTAGGTAGTAGGACTTGTTGATAATCGCACTATAAACTATAATAAACAAATATATATATATATATATATATATATATATATATATATGTATATATATATAATAAAAATGGTAAACACGTGCATGGAATTTAAAAAAAATTATAAGATATACGAATGTATAGAAAAAAATATTTAGTTATAGACAAACGCTAAAAGATATTGTCAGTATGTAACGTGTTAATAAAAACAATATTATAGGTCGAAACGAGAAATAATCATAATTTTAATTAAGAAAGATTGCATAAATGTGTAAGAACACATGCATATTATGGATTTTTAGAGAGTCAATTTTATATGCTGATATGTAATGTGTGACAGAGAATGTAAAAGAAAGAAACCAAGAAAAAAAAAAAGATGAAAAGCGATATTTGAAAACATAGGGTTATCATCCTGTTTTCCTTGGTGCATTTTATATATGGAAACGAATAATAAATAGTTGTAACTACTTCGAAGATAGTGATTATTTCCGTATTACTACTTTATGCATTTATGATTGAAATATGAGCTTTTATATATACATACCTAAATTTGTATATTTAACAAAGAGCGAAATATTTTGCAGATAATATTTGTACATGACGTATACTTTTTCGAGCTTTCCACATATAAATAAACCTATTTTCCGTTTGGAATAAATCCGGTAAAAAAAATATAACAATAGCATTTTATATTCAATATATAACAACACATTTATGTGTAACGCTCCTTTTAATAGTTTTATTTATAATTCCGTAGATATACAGTTATTCCGTTCAGTCATTTATAATAATTACATTGTATGTAGTATCTTTTGCAGCAATCAATATTGCACATTGATTCGGTAAATATTAAGTTCGGTCGATAAAACAGGATCAAATGAAAATATTATTATTATTATTATTATTATTATTATTATTATTATTATTATTATTATTATTATTATTATTATTATTATTGTTGTTGTTAGAAGATTTATTTCATATTTTTAATATGTAGATATATAAATAAAAAATTTTCTGTAATTATCTCTCTGACGAAATCAGCTCTATTTTTTTTCTATTCTGTGCTTTTAAGCAGCCATAAAAGGCAGCTGAATAAAACACAATAAACTATTCCGATCGAGCGTGAACATTCGCAACTAGTAATATCCCTTTCACGTGATTTTTTTTTCTTTGCAATTGTAAATACGTTTAGAAAAACAAATTTAATGCGATATAAGCAACTATAAATTGTCAATTCTATCAATTAGCAATAAATATATATATATATATATATATATATATATATATATATATAAACATATATACGTATACATCTTATCTAGCATAAAGTTCATCAATGACCTGTTTGTAGAATTCTACATACGCACGATGAAACGTGTCATAACGTCGATCATAATCGATGATATAACAATTGTCGCCGTTTTCATAATCGAGGTCCAATCAACGAGAGAAGAAAAGATTTTCTTGATAAAAAAAAAATAAAAAATATAAAAAAAAGAAGAAAAACTGATCAGTGAGTTTGTAAAAAAAAAAAATAAAAAAAAAAAGTAAAATTAAGCAAATTTGAAGAAAAAATAAATGGAATGGAAAAGATGAGATAACGCGTGTACGATCTTGATTGGTAATAATAATTATTGGAATTTAGTAAAAGAATTAAAAGTGCAAACGAAGAAGGAAGTTAAGAGAACTAGTGAGGTCGAGAGGAGAGAAGAGGAAAGGAAAGGAGAAGAGAAGAGAATAGTGCTCAATCGGTGAAACGAAGTAAAAAAGAGAGAGGCGAGAATGAACGATCGCGACGACCATGGTGGCTGCAATGTGACCGGTGTACCACGTGACCGATAGAACCAATCGGTTCTTAGGTAGAACTGGCGGTCACGTTGCGTTCGGCGTGGCAAAAGCTTTCCCCTTTCCTCTGCACGCTGTCTCCCTTATCCTGCTTGCAAGCAGCAAGTCCTAGGTGAGAACCATAAGCACGACTCTCGACGAATACAACAGTCCAATTTTCTTCTTTCCTCGGAAATCATTGTGCATTTATTATTACCTCTTTACGATCATGTGTTCGTTATCATTCTCGAGCGTGTAGACAGAAGAGATTGTCATACGAAGAGCATAGACATAAATATCGTTGAAGTGTACTTTAATTATCATTTTATTAACCGCGTTATTGTGCATTATTTGTGTAGTGTTAATGCAAATTGCATTAAAGAAATTATTAATTCGTCGGAAATTAATGTTGGCAACGATAACAGAATTACGATTTATTCGTGACGACGTCAGATTTATGTTTTCTGTCGTATGACGGGAGAGAGACAAAGAGAAAGGATTGTTAGAATTTCGCGCCTCTTTCAGTAAGTTTATTTACGTTATTTCTTCTTTTAATTCGTTTTTCTTTTTATTTCGATTTAATCTTACAGCTTGGAAATAATTATATTCTTGAACGTTGAAAAATGAATTTGTTATATGTGCATGCTCTGTGTATATAACATATCTATATATGTATATACACACACGACACGTACTCATACAATATGTATATAATTGCGTATATTGGATTCGTTTGCTGTCATGCGAAATAAAGCGCGCGATAGGTTACATTTAGAGGGCGTTGTTTTACTCGGTCGGTAATAAAGATGACTGCAATTGATTATAGGAATGTTTCATCTTGTTGACTTTTATTTTGTTTTCTTTTTCTTAAAGTCGCAGTAAGAATAAACGCCAAGACTCATACGTCTCATTTATTAAGTTTCCTGTGCAACATACTTGAAAATATTTATTGAAAAATTCTTATAGGAAGTGTTACGATCTGTCTGTCATATGTTCCTACAAGTATATGTAATTTAAATTCGAATGTTTTTTTTTTGACTAATTCTACATCTAACTGATATGTTCGTCATTTCAATTACTATTTTGTCGTTCTGCATTAATTTGTATGTAACATATAGACATAATATAATGAATGTGTTTACGTTACTAACATACTAACTCCGAAATATATTATAAAATCTATATATATATATATTTTTTTTTTTTTTTTAATATTATAATAAAAATATTTTTAATATTATAATAAAAAAATGAAAAGAAGTAAAATTCTTGCGAAAATTCATGTCTTATCGATTTCTGTTTTATCGATCGAATATCAATGATCCATTGAGTATCGATCTAAGTTGCATAATAACTGTCTGCAAAAAAAAAAGAAAAGAACGATTATGTCATTGGGTCAGCGCGTTGTTTTTAAGCTAAATGAAACGACGTAATGCCGTTCGTTTTCCGTGTTTCTAGTAATTAAAGTTAAAACCATAGTGCGGCAATTTAATTCGTGGATGTCGAAACTGTTTGCTTTCTTTGACTTATTTTTTTTGTAAGAAATTAAGAGAAGATTAGAAAAAGGAAGAATTATTTCAATATAAAAGTATTATTTTAATGAACGATCAGATGAAACAAAATGTTCATCAATCGATAAAGAAAATGTTCTACATTCTTATTGACCGAAAAAAAGTTCTATTTCGAATTAATTTTATAAAATCTTTTTCTTTTTCTTTTTTTTTTTTCTTTTTTTGTTTTTCTTTTTTTAAGTTTGAAGAAAAGTTAACAAAAGATGATCAAAAAAATTGATCGAAGATCTTCAAACATATATTAGGATGAATTAATTGGGATCGATAAATAGAGAAATAACATCTATATCTATACGTTTAATTCTTATTTGAAAATAAGAGAAAAAGGAAAATAAAACTAATAAAGAACACGATGATTGAAAGAGTGTCACTGTATAACATATAATTAGTTCTACAAAGGCTTGACACTGGAAATAATATTTGTTCAATCACGTAACGACGTCTATATTCGGGTTGAATGAGAGGTAGCATCGATCGTTACGTAGATGTAGTTCGTGACTAATCTATGTGTCGATAAAGGTGAACAGAAATAAAAGAAGATGACATAAAAATGTTCGCGAGCGTTAACCTTGTTTTTTTTCATTTTCTTTTCCTTTTCTTAAGAAGATGTCGTCTCATCGAGTCGTGATGTCTCAACAAATATTTTTATTTGTTATTTATGATAAAAGAAAAGATAAAGAGATGATAAAATGATTTTCTTTTTCATTTGTTTCTTTTTTTTTTTTTATATATTTTCTTATGGGACTGCATTTTAATCGAAATATAAAAATCCAATTTCAATTTTTCCAATTCGTCTAGTCTCTCTCTCTCTCTCTCTGTCTGTCTCTCTTCCTCTTTTCCTCCCCCTCCCCCTCTTTCTAATCCTGTAATTTCTACAGCTTATTTTAATCAGCCATTTTAATCAGCTTCCCCCAAAACCTTCTTTAGAGCGAATCCAGCTTAAATATATTTCAACGTCGTTCCTTGTACGAGATATTACCCGTATGAGTTTATTTTCGTGCGTATCTCACAAAATATGGGGAAAAAAAAAAACAAACAAAACAAAAAATTAATCAGATGAATTTTAATTGGAAATGATAATGAAAGAGACTTTTATTTCTAATTTTTTCTTTCTTTCCTTCTTTCTTTCTTTTTTATCCTTTTTTTTTTCTTTTTTTTTTTTAATTTTATGTTAACGAGGACACCGCTAATTCTTTTCTCTTTTTTCTTTTTCAGAAAGTGATACCTTCACAAATAGGAAAAGTAAGAAGAAGAATCTTGGCTTGGAGAAGAGGTTGCGTTAGCATAAAATAATTGCGTAATGCCGCCGGACGATTAGCAATGAGGCTTTCGTTTTACCATTTTCTTTTTATTTCTGGATAGGAAAATGAATTAAGTCTCTGCAAATATACGTTCGGTTTTCGTCGAAAGAAAAAGGGAGAGAGAGAAAGAGAGAGAGAGAGAGAGAGAGAGAGAGAGAGAGAGAGAGAGAGAGAGAGAGAGAGAGAGAGAGAGAGAGAGAGAGAACAAGTCGAAAGAGTCTTCTTGAGAGTACTTCGAAAAAATCAGGACGACGGGAGGATTCATCGATTTTCTACAAAATGGATGCGATTTGAAGCTAAGAGTAGAAAGATCGAGGAAAAGAAAGAAAGAAAGAAAGAAACGAAAGAAAGGAATGAAAGAAAAAATTTAGTAGTAGAAAGGAAAGGGACGAAGTTGAATGAAGAATCGTAGAAATCGAGTACAATACACCATCGTTACGTCGTAAGAGAGAAATAGAGAGGGAGATAGAAAAGTAGATAAAGATAAAGATAGATAGATCGGATCGATCGATCGACCTATAAGCTCTGTTAGAATGAGTAGATTACAAGAGTAAAGAGTGGAGAACGGCGATTTCTAACGAATAGTGGTGGTCGTGGTCGTGGTGGTGGTGGTGGTGGTGGTGACGGTGGCGGTGGCGTTTGGAGTGGCGGTGATTTGTAAAAAAGAAAGTCTAAGACGAATAAGACGATAAAAAGTAAAATGACGGGTAGTAGGAAAAGCGAATTTGGCGATGGAGTGGCCGTGCAAGGAGATGGTAGGAAACATACGGTTCATTGGTTCCGAAGAGGACTCAGATTGCATGATAATCCGTCCCTAAGAGAAGGACTAGCTGGTGCTTCCACTTTCCGGTGTGTCTTTATTTTGGACCCCTGGTTTGCCGGAAGCACTAACGTTGGTATTAATAAATGGAGGTGAGTTTATAGGCTAAAGGATGAAATCGTTTTAAATTAATCATGTTCGATGAATATCTATAAAGTGTTAAATGCGATTACATGCATATAGTGAAATAGTAATAATAATAATAATAATAATAATAATAATAATAATAATAATAATAATAATAATAATAATAATAATAATAATAATAATAATAATAATGATAATAATAATAATAATAATAATAATAATAATAATGATAATAATAATGATGATAATAATAATAATAATAATAATAATAATAATGATGATAATAATAATAATATTGAGCCAAGTGAGAATTGGATTTTAAAAGTATTCCTATTAACTTGTAATCTCTTTTTCTTTCTCTTATTTTTATGTTTTTATCAGATTTCTCTTGCAATGTCTCGAGGATCTCGACTGTTCCCTAAGGAAATTGAATTCCCGTTTGTTCGTGATACGAGGGCAACCAGCGGATGCCTTACCAAAGCTCTTTAAAGAATGGGGCACGACGAATTTAACGTTCGAAGAGGATCCAGAACCATTTGGACGCGTACGGGACCACAAAATTTCGACGCTTTGTAAGGAACTCGGTATCTCGGTGGTTCAGAGGGTCTCGCACACTCTTTACAAGTTGGACGAGTAAGTCCGAAACACCTCTTTGCCCGGAACATTCGATTTAAGGCTTAAGTCCCCTAAGTAGGATTTTATTAGAGGATTACATATGATGATCGGTTTACATCTAAATAGAAATATAGATTTAATAATACTTATGGTTATTATCTGTTCTATTGGAAAAGTCTTTTTTAAGATATCTTTTTTTTAAATTATAGTTTTCCTTGCAGTTTAGACGATTTTTTTTTTATTTTATCTTTTGATATTATTGAAAATGAGAGTATAGATAGTTCCACCCAATTGAATATCTTTTTTTTTTCTTTTTTTTTTTTAAATTATTTTATATTTCAGAATTATAGAAAGAAATGGAGGCAAACCACCCCTAACTTATCATCAGTTTCAAAATGTCGTCGCGAGTATGGATCCTCCAGAAAAGCCTGTATCTACAGTAACATCAGTTTGCATTGGTGATGCCTATACTCCATTGAAGGACGATCATGATGACCATTTTGGTGTACCAACGTTGGAGGAACTTGGTAAGATCAAACAACAAAAAAGTTTAATTTACATTAAATAAATTTGAGAGGACAATCAATCAATTTCGGAAAAATAATGTTCGAGATTGGTTAGAATGAGCGAATAATGATAACAATAATTCTTAGCACTTTTAATCGACTCCTCGAATAATATCGTGTTTCATCCGATATTTATGTAGGTGTGCATAGGATATACATATGTTGCGCTTACACACGCACACACACAGAGGAACGAGACGAACACGAGTACAATTGGCCACGTGCACGGAACCGTGAAATACGAGCTGCATTCTCATTCGTCTCCTTTTTTCTCTCTCTCTTTCTCTCTCTCTCTCTCTTTTGCTCTCTCTCCCTCTTGCTCTCCTTGTTTTTTCTTTTTTTTTTACCTCCATTTTTCGCAAAGGCCGTGTCACAAAACAAACAAGAAAATATTCAACACGTGCCAAGTTTTCGCCCTTAATACGACCTACTTTATATGCTCTCGCTTCTTTTTTTCTTCTACGCGCCTTTAAAACCATTCTCTTTTAACTTATTGGGTATGGCACGAGTTTTTTAATCTATGGTTTACACGCATATAAACATACACGAGTACTCTTTATCTCTTTCTTTTTTCTCTCTAACAAGAGTTTTATCATTCGAACTAATTTTTATGTATAGATATCTAGATATTTACATATATATATATATACATATCAACACACACACACACACACACACACACACACAATTTTCTCTCATCTCTCTCTTTTATTCGTTTATTCGAGATTTATATAGTGAAGAAATAAGAAATCATTGCTTACGATCATGTTACAATCTAACGTCGAATACTTCTTCGCATTCCTAATAAGATTTCCTATTTATGGCCGACCTTAATCCGTAATCTCCGTGGGATATAACATACATATACGTGACGTCAGCCTTTGACAGAAAAGCGATATTACGGAGAAAGTCTTAACTTATACATAGATATTTCTGTTATACATACATAGATCTACAGGGAGCATACATTCATTCATATATGTACATGGATGCGTATCGAAACACGGGGACATAGTAGAATGCGAAGCTTTTCGTGCAGATTCGAGCACCAAGAAATTCTCTTTTAAATACTCCCATTGTTTCGAAAGCATATATAACATATACATACATATATATATATATATTATATATATATATGTATATATATGAAGTATTATACATATAATGTGTGTATATATGTATGTACACATATGATATATGTACGTACATATTACGACTGACATAAGACAATAGAAGCCATGATCTTAATGTTATCGTCCATACAAATTGCAACAATGCATTTAATCACTTTTCCATTTCATCCTTGTTTACGTCTACTTTATCATATTCCTGAATAATTCTCATAATCGTTATTCATATTAAAAATAATGAATATTTAATTAAATATACGATTAAGTTGAAATTCAAGAAGATATTGTCATTATGTCAAGTGGCAGGAAATTTGTGTTTTAAATTAAAAAGGAAAAAAACGGGCAAATTCTTTTTCTTTCTTTCTTTTTTTCTTTTTTCTTTTTTTTTTTTTCCCATACGAAGTTTCAAGTAGGAAAGATTGAAAATTGAAAGGGAAGTCGTTTGGTAAGCAAACGAAACGACTTCTTTCCGATAGAGGACTTTTGAAAGTAAGTGAAGGAGAAACAGAGAGAGAGTGTGTGTAAGAGAAAAAGAGGAAGAGAGAGAGAAAGAGACCTAGTTTGTTTCTTAACAGGCTTCGACACAGAAGGGCTTCTGCCACCTATATGGGTCGGTGGTGAGAGCGAGGCCTTGGCACGATTGGAACGTCATCTCGAGAGGAAGGCCTGGGTAGCGAGTTTCGGCAGGCCAAAGATGACGCCGCAATCACTACTGCCGAGTCAGACAGGCCTATCACCTTACTTACGCTTTGGCTGTCTCAGCACGAGACTTTTCTACTATCAGCTTACCGATTTGTACAAAAAGGTACAAATGGCGTCGTCAATACTTTTATAATTTCATTTCCATGTATATATCTTTATGATCATTTCAGAGATAATTTCATTATTCATTATTTATAATAATATTATCAGAAGTAACGTTAATTTTGAATTGTATTATTATTAAAATTGTATGTCACGATTTTTTTTTCTTTTTTTATTTTTTTTTTTTTTCATATGATCGTAGATAAAAAAAGCAGTACCACCACTTTCGTTGCACGGTCAACTTCTCTGGCGTGAATTCTTTTATTGTGCCGCCACGAAGAATCCTAATTTTGATCGGATGCAAGGCAATCCGATTTGCGTCCAGATACCATGGGATAGGAATGTCGAAGCGTTGGCAAAATGGGCGAACGTGAGTGATTTTCTTTTTCGTTTCTTTCTTTTTCCTTTTTCTTTTCCTTTTTTTCATTTTTTTTCATTTTTCTTTCATTTTTTTTTTCATTTTTCTTTTTTTCATGTTTTTTTCATTTTTTTTTAGTAACAATATTAACGATCTGTTTTCTTTATTTACCAACACTCGTTGGTAAAGAAGTAATCCTCAATATAAATCGGGAGATAGATAGTATTTTTCATTTATTATACAACTTTTTTCTCTCAGCGTTGACATACTTTTCTTTTCTTTTCTTTCTTTCTTTCTTTCTTTCTTTCTTTCTTTCTTTCTTTCTTCTCTCTTTCTTTTTTTCTTTCTTTCTTTTTTTTTTATATGTTTTTAATTAGGGCCAAACGGGTTTTCCATGGATCGATGCGATTATGACTCAGCTCAGAGAAGAAGGTTGGATACATCACTTGGCGAGACACGCAGTTGCTTGCTTTTTGACCAGAGGTGACCTTTGGATATCCTGGGAGGAGGGAATGAAGGTAAAATATCGCTGCATTGGCATTTTCCATTATTGAGCTCGTAATAAAATATGCGCTAACATTCTGACACGTTTCGCTGATAACATCCTTTTCCCGTCGTATACAATGCGTGTCTAAAGGACTCGTTAACATTTCGCATAGGTGACCGCTTAAATCTTGATAAGAACGAGAATATGAACGTTCGCTTTGATATGCTTTGAAATCGAGGAATGTCTAGGCGCGAGAAAGATGTTTATTTATTTTTTAATTTTTTCTTTTTTTTTTAAATTAATTAATTAATTTATTTTTTTTATCTTATCTTTCTCAGTTTATACAAAAAAAAGGTCCGAAAAAATTACGAACTTTCGCAAAAGATTTCTTCTGTTTTATTTTTTTATAATTCTTTTCTTTCTCTCTTTTTTTTTTTTTTTTTTTTTTTTTTTTTTGAGAAATACGTAAGTTTTTTCTTTCGAAGGTCTTCGATGAACTTCTATTAGATGCCGACTGGTCAGTGAATGCCGGTATGTGGATGTGGTTGTCGTGCAGCTCTTTTTTCCAGCAGTTCTTTCATTGCTACTGCCCTATACGATTCGGTAGAAAAGCCGATCCAAACGGCGATTACATTCGGTAAGCGATCATTTCCTAGGGGACTGTTTCAGATTTATGTCGAGGCAAAAGAAAAAGTAGACGTAGATGAATCGACGATAAATTTAATATTTTTCTTATAATAGCTTACTAGTAAAAAAGAAAAAGAAACTTAAACAAGAAGAATATTTCGATTTAAAAATTGTACTATGATTTGGAAATCGGAAAAATATTAATTATATACTTTATCGATATTTAATAATAATCATATTTCCAAACGATATTAATTATTCGAAATTTTCATATGAAAAAAATCTTTTCTTTTCTATACTCACATAATCTTTTTTTTTACGATATTGTTCTCTTTGTTACACGAAATCTTCGATCATCGATCAACGATACATCTCAGACGTTACCTTCCAGTATTGAAAAATTTTCCCACAAGATATATTCATGAACCGTGGAACGCCCCAGTTAGTATACAAAGAGCAGCAAAGTGCATAATCGGCAAGGAATATTCGTTACCAATGGTGAATCATAGTAAGAGTTCGCGGATCAACTTCGAGCGAATGAAGCAGGTTTATCAACAGCTTAATAAGTATCGTGGAAACGGTGAGTGTGCTAAAGGTCAATGAACTCATCTCTAGTTTTTCTCTATAATATCGGATATTAATTTGCGAATTTTTCTTCTGATATCTTCTTTACCGACTGAGAAGAATGAAAGAAGAGGATAAAAAAAAAGAACTAATTTCATTTTTTTTCCTTTTTTTTTCCTTTTTTTTTTTTTTTCGTTTGCACAGGATCGTCCTTCAAAGGCGAATCAGTCGGTGAGTGAATGTTCTCTTTAAATTTCTTGTAAATCTTTCATGTTTATCATAAAATCAGGACATTCTTATTTGACTCGATATTTTCAATTCCGACTACGTTATTTCTTCACTCACATGTTATTTCATTTTAAAGGTCTTTTAAATGCACTTTTGCCGTCCAATCCAAAAGTCAAGGAAGACGAAGAAAAAAATAATCGTCCATTGTTAAAAGATGAAGACAGAAAAATGGACGCTAATGATGCTAATACCGCACAACAGTAACGAGCACAATACCGATTGAAATGACGTTTCTGAAGAAGAAATCGTTTATTCTTTCTTTTCTTTTTTTTCTTTTTCTTTTTTTACCTTAACTATCATCGACCAATGTGAAAAATGCATCATTTTTCATATTTTGCAAAGTTAACATCTTTAATTTCCTTTCTCTCTCTCTCTCTCTCTCTCTCTCTCTTTCTCTCTCTTTTTCTTTCAATTTTTTTTTTTACTTCATGGACATATCCTCGTCATTAAGATCGTTCTTTAAAAAGACAGTTTTTATCAATCACGTCGCTAATTTAATTACTATTATAAGATTAGTCGTTTAAGAAACGTTCGTATTGATTTTACACACCCTGAGAGAGAAGTCACGCGATAAGGTACAAAATAGAATAAAACTACTATATTAAAAGAGATTAAGTATTAATAAGATGATATTCGTTTAATCAAGGACAAAATATATATTTGTTATCTCGATATACATACACATGTGTATGATATATATACGAGATTATCGTTAAAAAAAAATATATATATATATATATGTGTATATACATATACATATACATATACATATACATAATATATATATATATATGTATATATATTATATGTATATTACGATGGTCTTTACGTTATTGATACGCCATTAAAAATGTTCATATCGATTACATATTAAGCTTCTCATAATTCTCATCAATGGTTTTTAAGAGATTCTTTCTTTTTTATGCGTAATGTGTATCTCACATTTGTATCATTATATGTATTCTATTTTATACGTACACACACACATATACATGTGGGTGTGTATATATGTATATAATAATTATTCATTGTACAGAGTCAATTTTATGCTATAAAAAGAATTTTCATGTAACTAGTCTATCATGTTAACATTACAAATGAACCATTCACTTACCTTTTCCTTGTTTTTGTTTACTATGTTTTCAGCTTCCAGACAAATATGGCGATGTTTTAATCGAATCGAAAAGTAATACGATTAAGAGTAGTCGTTGATTATAGATCATAAATCATAGATCATAATCGAACTGTCGGTAAATTGGTTTTAGTTAGTGTTTAAAACTCGATCGATATTTCAAATTCTCTTCATGTGTACATTCTGCTTTATTAATTATTTTTTACTTTTTGTCTATTATTCCTTCATCTTTTTTATTTATTTATTTTTTTTGTGTATTTTTTTATCTACAAAAAAGTTATTAAAACAGAATGTACAAACTCGATACTACCATGATATATATATATATATATATATATATATATATATATCTTTTTAAATTTCAAGTGAAATAAAAAAGAGGAAGAAATTTTTGTTTTTTTAACTTGACAAAACAACGCGCGATTTTGAATTTGATCATTGATCCAAGATCTCCGGTATGAGTGATCGTTCAACGTGAATAAACTTTCTCTTTCTCTTTCTTTTTTTTTCTTTTGCTACAAAAAGTCGATCATAGATTTACTCTATATTATATACCGCGATTTTGGAACATACGAAATGATTCGTTGTTCCGCATCATGTTCATTTAAATCGTCTTGATAGCTATTAATTGACGTTCTCTCTCTCATTCTCACTCTCTCACTCGCTCATTCAATTTCTCAATCTCTCTCTCTCTCTCTCTCTCTCTCTCTCTTTTTTTTTCTCTTGACTTGTCGCTATTTCGAAAGAGAGAAAGGTGGACGGTTATGGTGTTGTGCGAAAACTGTGCATTCCTCTTTTTATGTGATCGATGGTGTCAATAAAACGTAATTCTCTCCTTCCTAACATCATCGTTAAACTTGCAATTTAAAAGATTTGTTATCGCACGACACCATTCGTGTCTTCCAATGATAATACGAGCTTTGCGTTACAGTTTACACTTCTGTGATCAAAAGTTATGAACATTCTTAAGTGAGTTTAATCTTTTTTTTTCGTTTCTTTTTTTTTTCTCTTTGTTCTTTTTCTTTTTTTAAATAAACTCAAATTTATCTGTGTGATATAAATTATATAGATTAGCTTACGTGTATATGTGTATGTGTATAAGTTTATGAAAGATATTAACAATATTGTCAGAGAAATGATCAGAAGATACATCGTATTGGTAATCGAAATTAGGTTGATTATATAATATTTCAATTCATTAGGGAGTAATCAATTTTTGATCGTGAACGTGTATTAGGACGCTTTACACGATCCTACTACATATATCTCTCTCTCTCTCTCTTTCTCTCTTTCTCTCTCTCTCTCTCTCTCTCTCTCTCTCTCTCTCTCTCTCTCTCTCTCTCTCTCTCTCTCACCCTTTTATGATGCGCTCCAACTGAACTTACACGACGATGGTTTTTTTCTTTATTTTTTTTTTTTCATGTCAACAAATAATATATTTTTAGTGCCTATAGTACTTATAGTTTTACAGTACATTTTTCATTAGTTTTTTAAACAATTACAAATGAACATTCTCAGCACTCAGAAACAGGACTAATGTTTTTTTTTTATCTCTCTCGGTCATTCTTCGTTTCTCTCTCTCTCTCTCTCTCTCTCTCTCTTTCTCTCTCTCTCTCTCTCTCTCTCTCTCTCTCTCTCTCTCTCTTGCACACACGCACACACAATACACATACATTCTCTAGCTTTCTCTCTTTTTCTTTAATCATGCTCAGTTACGCACATTTTCTGTCGTTCTCTCGAATTTTTATTCATACAAATATACAGACAGACTACGTACACATACACGTACACGCATACACATACACAAACGCGTATTCTCTCTCTCTCTCTCTCTCTCTCTCTCTCTCTCTCTCTCTTTCTTTCTTTTTCTCGATCATCACGTGCGTTTTTACGTGCCATACGTGTGTTTCTCTCGCGATATACAGAATTCACGAACTCTTCCGCTCTCGTCGTAATATGAATATGTTATGTATATAATCTATAGTATCGATAATAATCGAGCGAAGGGGTGGGACAGAGGGAAGAGAAGCGACGATCAAAATAATACTTTTTTTTT